GATTTTTTCTGCACAGGAAAAAGTAAAAGGAGCAGCCCAGGAAGCTGAGGCTGAAAAACTCTGTTTTTCTGTTGTGTAAAACAGCTGGTAAGCAGCAGGAGGAATAAAGCCCTAAAGCTTTTGTCTGTCCTGCTTGAGCCTTCATTATGCTGCTGTTTTCAGCATCTGCTTCCTGTGATGGTTTTGTTTCACCTTCTGTTGAAGGAAGTATGATGGCTTTTATTCCCTTAAAGGGAGAAAAAAAAAATCCAAACCACCAGCAATGGCTCAATAATTTCTTTTCGCTATTGAAGACTGAGCATTACCTGGCCTTCTAATCAGACTACAGCTTCAAAATTACAGACTGACTATGCAAACCTGCCTATTTCTAATTAGAAAAAAATACAAGACACAGATTGTTAAGAGATTTAAAAAGAAAAAAAAAAGAGAGAGAGAGATTTTGGAAAATGCCCATATCTTTTTACCTAGGTCTAAACTAAACATTAGCTGCTTCTATTTGCTAACAACCTTCCCATCCCTTCAAGGTCAAATATTGTGAGAAGTTTATCCAAAACCAGGGAGGCACTCAGTGAAACTTTACTGTGTTACACAGATCTTAATTCTGCTTTAATGCTTTTTTTGCAGAAATGCTGCCTGAAATGCTGGCCTTAAAACATTAGCTCCCACTGACTTGTTTGGGGACTGTATGGTAAACTGGATTGGCTAAAAATAATCTACTGAATAAAACATGGAAAGGGATTATCTTTCACCCCCATTAAGTTTCCTAGTTCACTGTGCAGTCCATCATGCACAAAGTAAAGCCCCTGCCAAAAGAAATGTTTATCTAATCATCCAATCCTCTTAAGTCTTGCTTTGATAAAGTCAACTTGTTTCACCTCTGCATCTAACAGAGTGAAAAGGGGTAGAAAAAATGGTTAAGCTATTGCAGAGGAAAGTACCAAGCACTGTTATTTTCTACTCCAGAAGCACATGCTTGGTGTGAGGGAAAGACAGTCCCAATCTGCCTGCAGGACCTTTTCAGGATGTCCCACTGCAGCAGCAGCATCTGAGAGCTTGACTCAGACTCACCTGTCTGATATTAGTGTGGCAAAAGCTGCATCCTTAGCCCTGATGCTCCAAGACAGGGCAGAGCCCAAGCGGTTGTTCCGCAGCGCTTTCATGGCCATGATTTTACAGATGCTCCGAACTTCAGCCATAGACACAGGAGAAGAGGGGAAAGAGAATCAGTTTCAATCGTTTCAGTTATATTACTATAAAGAAAGAGATTGGATTCAAGAAGCAATCACCCTGTTCGTGCATCTGCCTCTGCTCGCAGATCCTCAGCACTTTGAGGGCCTTCTGTTCCGTGTTGAGGGGTATCCGCTCGATGTGCAGCTCCAAATAAACCCTGCCGAATTCCGGACAGTGGTCAAAGTAATCGACCCCCAGCTGCCACAGGCTGACAGAGAGAAGAAAAGTCAGGCATTCCAGCCACACGAGTCTTCAATAAGCACAACTTTACTGGCACAAGGAAACTTTAGTCTGTATTAGTAAGAGTTAGCTCTGATTTACTTAGAATTCAGATTTAAAATAGCTTTTGGTTTGTATGAAGAAGTATCAGTTGCCTATTTTAACAAGTCTGGCATATCTGCATCTCAGCAGTACTATATTTGATCTGTGGTACAAGTTACTTTGTACCTTGATAGGTTTTATAGATTTTTTTTTGTCTTAAATTTAGGAAAAAAAAACATGGGAGTGTTGTACAACTCCTTCTGGATACACCTTTGATGACATCCTAACAGTCACTCCACTGAGTTTTGCCTTCTTACTTTAGCATGAAGTTATTTGCTTTGGCTGCCTTGGTGTTAGTCTAGCCTCTGAGCAGAGGAGAGTTTCTACCTGTGATGGGAGAAGAGTCCTGAGGCATATTCCAGTAGAAGGAATTCACGCATATTTGAACCAAAACTGAAAAACAAAAAGCAAAACCCACAAGGATTATTATCTGCACCTGCTGAATTATTTGAAAAATGCTTTTAATTAATGTAGCCTATATTCTCATGGGCTATCTTAATAAGCTTCCCACCTCAGGCCTAAGCATGTAGGGCAGCTTTCTCCTTGGGAAGGCCTGCCAATTATTTGCAGCACTTAGCAAATATAATCTACAGGAAGCAGCAAGTGCTTTAAGCAACTGCAACATCAAGGGTCTTCAGAAAATAACATTCAATTGATCAAATTTAAAATGAAAAAAGAGAGTAAGAAAACTCTTTTAGATAAGTTTTTCACTATACCAAATAATCACAAACATTTAGGCCCTTGGTTCTATTTCAGCTAAAATTATGTATTAATAAAGCTAACTTTGCACTGAGGCACTGTTGAAATATCATTTGAATTTGAATTCATCAGGTCAACAACTGCCTCTGCTTCTCAGAGCACCTGGGCTGCTTGTACCTTTGTGGGCACATGCAGCACCTTTATTTTCCACCTTCTGCAGATGTCCCACATGCCCATTTTCAGCCAAAATCCACTGCTGAATTATTCTTGTTTCTGTGTGTCTAAATAATGAATGCAAATAAATACTTACTAGAGATTGTGAGACTGCAGGAGTTTACAGTGATCCAGTAGGTCAGTCAGATGAGCCACAAACCACCAGTTGCTCAGGGCAATGCTAAGTTTGAAGTAAACAAAAAGTTAAGCTTACAACTGCCAAGGAATACGTCAGATTTTCCACAGGTATTTTTTTACTGTCACAGAAGCTATATTACTGTATAAAGGTGTGTTGCAATGTCTCAGACCTAAGAGAATACTTTTAATTCCTGCCTGCTTCACATCTTGTTGAGTTCTTTAAAAGGATAAATCAGTAACCTATGCCCATCCTCTCTACCCTAAATACACTGTGGTTTAAGTGACTTCTGGACTGAACTCACAGAGAAGAAATACCATAAAATTAGGAAGTCAAAAACCTTAAAACTCAACCTGCATTCCTTGATCACTTGATGTATCTCAAATTCAAAGGCTGCCATTAAAATGATGTCTAGAGGCTCGGCGCTGCTTTCTCCACGCAGGAACAGGTCCATGCTGGACTGTGGAGGAAGATAACAAGACATGATAAATGAAAAAAGGCTTGAGACAATGTAACAGAAGACATTTGTTTGGCTGTAATAGCCTCATTTAGGTTATTTTGTTGGGAATAAAATGTCTTAAAGACAGGAACACATTAACAGAAAAGATATAAAGGAATTTGGGAAAACAACTAGCAGAAACAAGACTGATAACTCTGGATTGTCAGTAGATTCAGTACTCAACAATTTGCTGACAGTATCAGTCTCCCAGTCCACTTCCAAATTCTAAGAAAAATCTCACGGGTACACAGTAAAATGGCATTCCTCCCAAAGCTGTTCTACATACACTAGCTCTTGTGCATTAAACCAGGGCGGGGGGATAAATAAACAGTTTTATTTCATGCCTGTGCATAGAAATGCAGTTCCATTGGCTTCACAGTGGGATGGGAGTAGAGCAGTCGGGTAACCAGAAAGTGGTACCAGGTAGTCAGGAGTTCCTTTTTCTCCAGTATGGCATTCTCGTCGCCCAGCAGGACCTGGGGGAGAAAAACAGGAGAATAACTCTGCAAACATGGCAATGTAAGTAGCTTCTTCAGCTCTTCATTAATTCCATTTTGCAAAGTTCATAATGTAACCAAAACTAAACAGCAAAGGACAGAGTTTCTTCTCAGAGCTGAATTCCTTAACCAGCACTATGACCTGGTACAGGAAGAGCAAATACTCTGCCCGGGCTTGCAAAGTCTGTGAGAAAGACAAACCATGCCCTGAAATCTTCTGCTTTAGTGTCTAGCATATCAAAAGTACTTATGAGCACACAGGACTCCTGAAGTACAAAAGGGTGACCTCAGTACTTCTCCAGAGTCTCCTTTCCTGTCAGCCAAAACGCACCTTGCAGATGGATTCCATGTGGGAATTGGAAGCAAAAGTTCCATCCTGTAGATATCGCTGACATTCTTCATGCCAGTGCTGCCACTTCAGCTCCATCTCGGTCAGTGTCTGCATGTTGCCAAGCTGAACACAAGATGTGTGCAAGTCAAATTCCAGTGACCACTTGGGCTCAACTCACACAGCTGTTCATTGTAAAAAGCTAAAAACTGCGCTGCCACCAGGATTTGTCACATTGTTTTCCAGCTGCCTTTCAAATGTTTTCCTTTACCCATCATAAGGCAAAGTGACAGACTGTAGAAGAACCCAGAAATCAACCACCATGGTACAACTGCAGTTTCTCAGCTTAAGAAGATCTCTGCAACAGAGAAACTCTGTTGGTAAAGTCTTCAAAGAATATTCCCTGCCATACTCTGAAAAACTTTTCAACAGGAACGATTTCAGACACATGGACAACGTATCCTGCTGTAAAAATGATCTTTCTGGGTATGTTAGTTTTTCACCTAACAGTTCTTTCCTGCGTAGCTGGGTCTTTTGAGCAATTCAAGAATGCAAATGCTACTCCTGAGAGGAGTAATGATTGAGATAGTTTAGCAGTCAACATGCTGTGATTTTATAGGAGCCACTGTGGCAATGAAACAGACTGGCCTAACAGTGTCCTCCCTACAGAACTACACAAAAACTGCTTTGTACGTACGCTGGGCACAGGCATCTTCTTCATCAAGTCATCCAAGACTCTGCACATGTTCGTTGATGCGGGATTAGCACTGGCTTCCTTAGAGAGCAAGTGCCGCGCTTCATCCATTCGGCCTTGCAGCACAAAGACATCCACCTGCAAAAGCCACCTGGGTGTGAGCAGTGCAGCGTGTGAGCAACGAAATACCCCGGTGCAGCGTCAGAAGGGAAGTTTAACTTATGGTTTAGTCAAGTTAAGTGGAGTCAAAATGCTTAAACTTTACGCTCTGTTAATTCAAGTCTACAGAGGAAGTCTTGGCCTCTATGGATCTGATATGAAACAATGTTAGAAATGAGGAGCAGTAACATCTTCACCATGTTTTCATCTTAAAACTATATGATCAGATAGTAGCAGTATCCTATACATCAATTTGAGATGTAGGATCACTATCAAGTGTGGAAGAGAAAGGCAAAGAAGAAAAAGGTTATTTCCCTTCCTATAAAAAACTTACACATGACTATACTCACCACATTCCAAAAGAGCTCATGTTTTGATGGATTTTCACTGCTCAGAACTTCCCGGACCATGTTGTTCACATCACAGACATGAAGTCGAACCCAGTCAAGTAGGCGAATCAGGAGGGGACCAGCTTTATGCAGAGAAAACATCATTCCATTATTTCCCAATTATGTTGCTTTTTATTTTATTCAATTTCAACCTTAATAGTTTGACAACCATTAGATGAGGCTTACTAATCAGATTACTATCTGCATACTTTTATTACAAAGGGACAGAGATCTTTAAGTAGCTATGGAAGCACCAGATGGCTGACAAAATTACATGTTGCAAATTTTAGATAGAGGAGGAAGACTCAGGCTATAATAGCTTGATGTTGAAGGACACTTATCTAAGAAATCTCAACTTTAGGACATAACAGGTAAGTGACTCGGATCATGTATCTTCCTAATACCAAAAGGCACATACAGGGTTTTCCTTCATTTCATCCTCTCATGAACAGAATAGGAGGCAGTAGGCAAAGTGGCACCAGCTAAGTAACTTTTCTTCAGATTAATAACTGAACCTCTCTTCTGAAATCTGGGACTGAGCAGACAGCATATTTGTTCGCCTGCTCTGATCACTTCCTTTTTAAAATGCTGCTATAAGCAAAGTGAATTCAAGGGCAGCATCCTAAAGGTAAAGAAGCTGACAAAGAATGTCTACATGTTAGCTGGCATCAACTGACATGAGCTGATATTTTAAGAAGTTTTTATGCTTAAAAGTAAAATAAATTGACAGCAAACACTGATATTGCTGCACTCCATTATCCTTCTGCAAAAAAAAAAGTCAATTTATAGTGTATTATATAAGAGGGAGAAAAATAGAAGCCCTTTAATTTTAATATCAGGATAGCTCTCTCCTCACCTACAGCTGCTTCAACAAACAGAATCTCACACAAGTTCCAGATCAGCTCCATCGCAGAAAGAATAGAAACCTGAAAAAAAAAGCAGACACACATCTCAGATTTAGTAATTATTACAATATGCAATATTTTTAACTGCAAAAATTGCTCAGTTAAGCTTGGCTCTTCTAGACAAGAGATACCCTACTGACATTTTAGGGATCTAAATTAGAAGACAGAATTAGGCCACAACTTCTCTACACATTCACCTTAGAAAATATTACAGCTCTTTTTGTATTCAAATGTAGTAACAATCTGTCATGAGTGGGAGATAAAAATGTACAGGAACTGTTATTTTCCGGCTCTTTGCACTCCTAAGACTTAACATTACAAACAGCATTTTTTTTGTTTTATAAAAATAATTTTCATCTGCATTTGAGACTGAGAAGACAGACCAGATAAGCAACATCACTGCTACTAACAGGACAATACTTCTTGAAAACTGTTCTTTCAATAACAGTGTCCTAGCACCTGAAAGGTCTCTGCAACTTCTAGAGCTTGCTACAAAGGTCAAATGTTGATAAGAAGTTGAGCATCTGACAAGTGAAGCCTCAGCCAGGTAAGTACTGGCCCACAGCTGGATTTTTCAGATGATAATAAAACATCACACCTGTAAAACTGAGTACACATTTAAGACACGACAGCATTTCCAGATGTTGGACATCTTTTTACCGTTAAAGAAACACAGGTACTAACTACTATGCATTTATTTTTGATAGTGCACTATATTCAATGCACTAAGCCAGATTTACAGCTGAAAGACATTACTGCTACAGTGATGGCTTTGACAAATTTGCTAGGCAATGGTTTGTATTCAGCTGAAGCTACGCAGACATGAACTGCAGGTTACCTGAGTACTGTACTGGTTGTGCAGGGCAGGGTCCCAAGCGGAAACTGAGGGAAAAATAAAGAAGGTCAAAACCCAACCTCCCCTAACTGCTTTCACAACCCCTTACTGGTAAGCATAGACTTTGATGGGTACATACATGACAAAGCAACTTTTTTTTTTCTTATTTGTATTTTTACTAAACTGATATGTCAACAGAGCAAGGGGGGAAAGGAGGAGAAAAAAACTCTCACTTTTTTGGGGGGCAGCAAGCTCCTAATTTGGTCTATTTCCCATAAAACTGCAACCACAAAAATGAAAAGCAATTCCCTCCCAATCAGTTAAAACATAGTGCAAAAAACATTCAGACTTATAGACCGAATTGGAAATCTCAGGAATGGAAATGCAGTCTTGATAATTACTGAAATCCATGCACACTTTTTTATAGCAGTATCAACTTACAGTCGCAACCAAGCAAACTTACCAGCCGCCTGGTGCATGTCTTCCATGCAGGCTCTTATGACCGAGCGGTAGTTTTTACTCACTTGAACCAATCTGCCAAGCATAAAAAAAAAAAAAAGACCATTTTTAGGAAGAGCCCTTTGAGTTTTAGGTCTCTGACTGTTTCCTCCTACAGTCTTGCAGGCATTAGATTCTTCCTCATACTCGGGTAAATCCAGTGGAAGTCAGCAAGGCTGAACACGCTACTGTGGACATTCTATAGATGGGTGAAGGGCTTGTGCAGTGGAGGCTTGAGGCCAGACTTTAAGAGAATATCCCTAAACGGCCACTTCTACTGCACTATTGATGGTTAGCAGTAGTTCTAAGTACAGAGCGGCTCTAGGTTAGAGCTGCTGGTTCATAGTCGCTGTCTGCTCTGTGGGGAGGGTGAACAGAATAGCAGTGACAGCTATTCCAGACATGACTCCGGACCTCTGCGCCCGCGCTGCACTCACTGCGCCTTCCTGGATTTCCCGGTCAGCTCCTCCTCGCTCCTCTGCAGGCCGATGAAGATGCCGTGCGACTCGTTGAAGAGCTTGCGCAAGGTCTGCACGTACACGTCCTGGTCCTTGCGCACCACGAAGACGCTGGACGAGCTCGGCCGCTTCTCGCCAGCCCCTGTGAGGAAGCGCTGGAGTTGGGGCCCTGCCGGCAATGGTCGCCCAACGGTCACCCAATTGGTTCCCTAGTGCTCACCCAGTGGCTCCCAAAAGGTTGCCCAGTGGTTTACTGATGCTCACCCAATGGTTCCCCCATGGCTGCCTAGTGGTTCTCCAATGGTCGCCCAACAGTGCCCCCATGGTTGCCCAATGGTCGCCCAATAGTTCCCCAATGGTTCCCTCATGGTCGCCCAATGGTGCCCCCATGGTTGCCCAATGATTCTCTGACGGTCGCCCAGGGCGGCGCGTGCCGGCACCCACCTCTGCCGCCGAAGAGCGGCTCC